CAGTGTCCGGTAGTCTTCGTTCCTCTGGGGTCTCACAGTCTTCGCTCCTCTGGAGTTCCGCGGTAGGTGGCTGGCTGTTGTTCTTCCCGGGTCTCTTCCGGGTCCCTCTCGCAGCGTTCACCCGTCTGGCGGCGGCGTTCCCCGCATTTTAATATTCTTAAGACATTAACTTTTCCTTGTTCTAAAATGTATAATAGTTTAAAAATAATTTCTGAATCCATTCCTCTAGGATTCAGAGTATTTTATAATTGGATCTTATTTTACCATGTTTTTTACTTCTATTCAAGTTAGATAAGCCCTTCATTGTTCTCTTTCTCATTCAGCCTTATCTCCATCTTTGTTTGTGTTTTAATTTTACCTCTGTCCTCCTGAAACGTTAGAGTCTCATTGGAGAATCAGGTTGAGGGTTCTTGGTGTTTCTGTTTAGTGAATGCCTAAAAAAACCCACAAACAGCATTTTTCTCATGCTAATTTGAAAGTTCTTAGATTGGTTTTTTCCTTCATTTTTTCCTTAGACCCTGTCCACCACCATAGGGTGCCATTACACAAACCCACAGATTGGGAGAAGAAGATCTTGATATGGTCAGGTCGATTCAAGAAGGAAGATGAAATCCCAGAGACTATCACGTAAGTGTTGTACTGGGGATTGTAGGCAGCTTTGTCTTCTCACTGCTCTGTTTTAAATGTCCTTAGGTGCCACATACATAGTTGTACATAGGGTTTTCAGAGGCCTGCTGTTTCAGAAGTGGATAGCCAATCCTTCCTAGTCTGTCTAAATCTGAATATTCAGATTTAGAGAAGTATCAGACAGACCAGCATTTTACAAAAAAAGTGAAAGATATATCCCTTATTGTGGAGTTAACCAATAGTGTCAGTGTTGTCCCTGCCTTTGGCACACGTGTCTTTACCCACTTATTTCCCTGCTCCACCATCCACCAGGATACCCATCCATTTCTACCCACTCCCTTCAACATCTATCTCCCATTGTCCAGCCCTTGACCTGATAGCTTATATCTGAAGCTTCCTTGGCTTCTGTGATTCCAAACACATCAGCTGCTGATAGTTTCTTATGCTGTAACCAGTGTCTCTTAAGTTTAGTGGTAATGTTTCCCATGTGAAGGTGATGTGTCCTGTAGAACTGCTGTGTAGATAGGTTCTACAAGGGCCTGTGGCCCTTGGGCCCAAATGGATCCCTTGTGGTCTTGGGGACTCCACGGTTACCTGAGAAGTGGGTGGAGGGTTTTAAGGTCCCTTACCTGAAAGCAGGGAATACCAGAGGAATGTATATCTGTGTTTCATTGATTATGCAAAGGCGTTTGACTTTGTGTATCATAACGAACTGTGGCTGATTCTGAGAAGAATGGGAATCCCAGAACATTTGATCGTGCTAATGAGAAACCTATACTTGGACCAAGAGGCAGTCATCAGAAGAGAGCAAGGAAACACTTCATGGTTCAAAACTGGCAAGGGTGTATGCCAGGGATGTATCCTATCTCCATACCTTTTCAACTTGTTTGCAGAAAAGATTATCTGGGAGACTAGGCTCTATGAGGAGAAATGTGGGGTCAAGATTGGTCGAAGATCTATCAACAATCTGCATTATGCAGATGACACAACCCTACTTGCTGAAACTGAGGAGGACCTGAAGCGCTT